AACATTAGTGCTGGCAAACGATTAATCGCATCCAAAATAAAAGTTTTTGTTTGCATAATATATGTACGTGTACTGTGTATATTTATTATGTATATATAAATACACACACATACAGTATATATTTTGAAAACAGTTACATGTATATACATGTATATATTTATATTTTATATTATATATAAATATAATTAATATATAAACACCATATTTTTCTTAAATATATACATGCAAGAGACTCGCGCCACCAGCAGCTGGTTGTGATCGCCAAGGACAACGGAGAGCCCGCGCTCTCTGCTACAGTCACCATCAAACTGTCCACGGTGGAGACCGCCCTTAAAACCTATGCTGACATGACTGAGGTGCCTTTGGGATATGACATCTTCTCCGATTTAAACCTGTATCTGGTGATCGGACTGGGCTCTGTTTCATTTCTTTTACTCATCACTATATTGGTCACCATCGTGCTGAAGTGTCAGAAAACGAAGCCCAGCAAAGCGGCTCCTCCGTGCAGGAACAGTGTGATCAGCGAGAGGAACTCGACCATCGCGGATTCCACTCTGGTCTCCAACGATGCCTACTGGTACAGTTTATTTCTAGCAGAGACCAGGAAAGGAAAGCTGGTGGTCAGACAGCCTGTGCCAAAGGGAGCGAGATACATGGTGTCCAGTATACCGAGGAGCACAGGACTGACCGAGACCAGCGACTCAGCTGCTTCTACTCTACAGGTAAGAAAAACTATTAAACTGTATTAAAACTATTAATGAAAATCTAATTATACATACTATTTTGTTGTGTATAGGCCTATGCTTTTTAAATCAAGGTGACAAATCAAATGTATAATATTCATCACATTTAATTCCCACGAATAATATGTTCAGTATTCACTCTTTATTATAATCGAATTCAGCTGAGCTGGCTCTATATTAAATGTGATGTTTTTAGATTATGCACAAAGTGTCGCTGTTGTCTAGCAATACACACGATGGAAATTACTTATTGGTCACCATAATGTTACGTCACAGTCTATAGCTGGTAGAGTGATCCTCTCTTTGCTCGTCTCTTTGTTCCTCCGTGTATTTCATCGTCAGTTTTTTTATTGCTTGTTTGGATTATATTGGACTTGTATCCTAAATAAAAAATGGAACCGTTTATGATCGCACAGAAATGGAGAAGGTACGTTTTGTTATTCCTGATTATTTTTGCCTTATTAAACCCAGCATTTGGCGTTACTCACTATTCTATTCCAGAGGAAATGGAGGTAGGATCTGTTGTTGCAAATTTAGCCACTGATCTTGGTTTGGATATACAGAGTCTGACCAAACGCAAGATGCGCCTAGATGTGATAGCAAATAAAAAATATCTGGATGTAAATAAAGAAACAGGAGAGTTATTTATCGTCGAAAGGATAGACAGAGAATATCTCTGCCCATCCAAAACTACAAATTCTTGTTTTCTAAAACTCGACGCTACAATGGAAAATCCAATTAGGATGTTCAACATTGAACTAGAAATATTAGATATCAACGACAATGCACCCCACTTTCGACGAGATGTCATGCATTTAGACATTTCTGAATCGACACCAGCCGGCGAGCGTTTCTCACTGAACAATGCAGTGGACTCAGACATCGGATCTAATTCAATTAAGACTTACTATCTTGGCGAAAGTGATCATTTTACTATCGAAATACAGTCTGGTCGAGATGGATCTAAGCTAGCTGATTTGGTACTGAAAAAAGCATTAGATCGCGAAGAACAAGCAGTTCATAATCTGATTCTTACTGCTGTAGATGGCGGAGTGCCTTCGCGCTCTGGGACAGCTAATATTATTGTCCAAGTGCTAGACACTAATGACAACGCCCCACAGTTCGATAAAGACAGCTATACTGTACATTTAAGTGAAAATTCTCCAGTAGGAAGCCTTGTTGTTAAGTTAAATGCAACAGATTTGGATGAAGGGTCAAATTCCGAAATAACATACACATTCAGTTTATATACCTCCGAGAAAACACAAGAGACGTTCAATTTGAATTCAGAAACGGGTGAAATTCGAGTTAAAGAGATGATTAATTATGAATATTTCAAGATCTATGATATGGAGATAATAGCAACTGATAAAGCATCTAATAGTCTCTCTGGAAAATGTAAACTAACTATTTTAATCACAGACATGAATGATAATCATCCTGAAATTTCCATCAAATCATTTTCTGGCCCTGTTAAAGAGGATGTACCTGTAAATACAATAATTGCAGTTTGTTGGTTGTGACGGATAAAGGGAATCCTCGCTTATCTGATAATGAAACTATAACAGTCCACTTGCTAGTTGTCAACGATAACGCACCGCAGTTCCTGCAGACATTCTACACGATACCTGTTATGGAGAATAACGCGCCTGGAGCTTTACTGAGCTCTTTAACTGCTGTAGATCCAGATCTCCATGAAAATCAGTATTTAGTTTATTTTATCATAGAGAAGGAAATAGTGAACACCTCCATGTCCATGCTGTTCTCCATTAATCCAGAGAACGGGAATCTTTACGCGCTAAAGACGTTTGACTGTGAGATAGAGAAGGAGTTTCTTTTCCACATCGAGGCCAGAGACTCTGGCGTTCCTCCGCTCAGCAGTAACGTGACCGTTCACATTATTATCATGGATCAGAACGACAACACGCCGCTTATAGTGTCTCCATGGCGCGCGCACGGCTCGGTGGTGGAGGAAAAGATCCCGAGATCCACCGATAAAGGAACTCTGATAGCCAAAGTCATCGCCATAGACTCTGATTCAGTGCACAACTCTCGAATCACGTACCAGTTTCTCCACAACACTGACGCGACATTATTCAGCTTGGATCAATATAACGGAGAGATCCGGACCATGAGAATGTTCAGTTACAGAGACTCGCGCCACCAGCAGCTGGTTGTGATCGCCAAGGACAACGGAGAGCCCGCGCTCTCTGCTACAGTCACCATCAAACTGTCCACGGTGGAGACCGCCCTTAAAACCTATGCTGACATGACTGAGGTGCCTTTGGCATATGACATCTTCTCCGATTTAAACCTGTATCTGGTGATCGGACTGGGCTCTGTTTCATTTCTTTTACTCATCACTATATTGGTCACCATCGTGCTGAAGTGTCAGAAAACGAAGCCCAGCAAAGCGGCTCCTCCGTGCAGGAACAGTGTGATCAGCGAGAGGAACTCGACCATCGCGGATTCCACTCTGGTCTCCAACGATGCCTACTGGTACAGTTTATTTCTAGCAGAGACCAGGAAAGGAAAGCTGGTGGTCAGACAGCCTGTGCCAAAGGGAGCGAGATACATGGTGTCCAGTATACCGAGGAGCACAGGACTGACCGAGACCAGCGACTCAGCTGCTTCTACACTACAGGTAGGCTCAGATATATTTTTCTTCTTTAGTAAATTGTCATATTATTTAACACTTTCGTATTGTTGCGGCACTTCTAAAAATGTTCTCATTTTAACACATATTTTTAATTAAACATTTGGAACTGTGATTATCTTTAAATGTTGCTTTTACAGGAAAAACAGTGAGCACTGATTAAGTTTTTAAAACGTATTTTATGTTTAAAGTAATGCTCAGTTAATTTAAAAACACTTTTAAATATAGATTATTCTTTCTTCATGGATGCAATTCGTTCCTGTGCGCATTAATGTGCACCCCTCTTCTTTGTGCGCAAAGAGTCGCTGTTCACCTTTAAAACATATCTGGCTACAATATATAACAGTCATCGTCGCCATGACTGTTTATTGTGCAGACAACGCTGCAACCATCGTTCGCTATACAATCCGTTCTTTCATTTAAGGTTGAACACTTCATTATTTCTATTTACTTTACAGTGCTAAGTCGGTTTTAAAATCTCCAACGATGCCTACTGGTACAGTTTATTTCTAGCAGAGACCAGGAAAGGAAAGCTGGTGGTCAGACAGCCTGTGCCAAAGGGAGCGAGATACATGGTGTCCAGTATACCGAGGAGCACAGGACTGACCGAAACCAGCGACTCAGCTGCATCTACTCTACAGGTAAAACAATCCACTTAATAATCTAAGAGAGATTTTCATGACGGTTCACGCACAATTTCTTTTCAGGATGTAAAATTAGACGGGGTTCATGCTGCAGTATGTGTCAGGCTGAGAAAATACAAGATACTTTTCCCCTCTTATATTGTAATACTTTTTTTTTTAATTATCCGTGTTTTTTTATATTTTGAGGCTCTTTATCTGTTATCACATATTGTCTTGGCATCCATTAAAACAGGAAAAAGAATCATAACACAAATAACGCGAAAAAAAAAAATATATAAAAAAATACATATTGTAAGAAAGGCTGTTCCTTTCTTATTGTGTATGTTCAGATCAAACTCGCTGAGCGTCGCTGTTCTCTAAGTAAACGCTTTTGGTCATAATCACATTCACCATGACAGATTTCCATAGGAGGAAAGCGCACAAAGAACGCGCCATGACAAGAGCTTCGCTCTGTGCGCCATTCTTTTCTCAACCAATTTCATGATCGCGAGGAATAGAAATATCTCAAATGTTGCAGAATGGAGGGACGCGTAAAGTCACAGTTTTGGAGGTATGTAACGGTCCTTCTGTTTTTCTCCGCTATTTTGGACACATCGTCCGCTGTTACACATTATTCCATCCTAGAAGAAATGGAGGAAGGCTCCGTTGTCGCTAATTTGGCATCAGATTTGGGACTGGATGTGAAAACACTCAGCAGACGACAAATGCGACTCGATATTAGATCTAACAAAAAGTATCTGGATGTCAACAAAGAAACCGGAGAGCTCTTTATTTTAGAAAAGATGGACAGAGAGTATCTTTGCAGTGTTAAAACAGCGACGTGTTTTATCAAAATGGAAGTGATACTCGAGAATCCTGTTCGAATGTTTAATATTCCACTCTGGTCTCCAACGATGCCTACTGGTACAGTTTATTTCTAGCAGAGACCAGGAAAGGAAAGCTGGTGGTCAGACAGCCTGTGCCAAAGGGAGCGAGATACATGGTGTCCAGTATACCGAGGAGCACAGGACTGACCGAGACCAGCGACTCAGCTGCTTCTACACTACAGGTAAGCACTGCCACATAGTGAATAATAATAATAAAAAAGTCAAATAAAATCTACGGATCTTTTCTTCCTTGTGAAGTAAAATGTTCTTTTAGGTTCAACTTTGCGTATGCGTATTTGCATTTATTTTGCTTGTACTTGTCAATAAATCCGCTCAGGAGACAAGTAATAGTTTGCATCAATTTTACGCATTGCAATGCAGTTATTTATTGTTCGGAGATAATTCAGCTGCATTAAACCTCTACATTTTTGTCGCGTTCAGTTAGGAGACTTGTTGCTTGCGTTAATCACCTTTGATATAAAGCATTTTTATTGGCACACTGTTTTGTAAATTCCCCGACTTGCACTTGTCATTTGCTTTGGTTTGAATATACGAAATGCTTTATTATAGGTATTCTGATTTTTCTTTCATTTTATTTTAAAGTTTTTGATTCATACCTTAACCAACGTGAAATATTTAAAAATACTTTTCTAATGTTACACTTTTGTAATGTTACTCTTTACACTGCACTCCTCACTCCTGTGCGCATAGAGTCGCTGTCCACCAAGAAAATACTTGTCTAGTCATACTGCCGTCGTCGTCGCCATTGAGAATTCTTCATTTGTGGGCAACATTGCAGTCTTTCTTTCTTTCAGGCAGGACTATAACCAACGTGAAATATTTTAAAATACTTTTCTAATGTTACACTTTTCTAATATTACTCTTTACACTGCACTCCTCACTCCTGTGCGCATAGAGTCGCTGTCCACCAAGAAAATACTTGTCTAGTCATACTGCCGTCGTCGTCGCCATTGAGAATTCTTCATTTGTGGGCAACATTGCAGTCTTTCTTTCTTTTAGGCAGGACTATTCGCTCTTTCATTTATTGGTCCAGTTGTATTTTCTTACATGTCATTGCGCGAATTATTGTCTTGAAACAAATCCACGTTTTGGAACTCTTTGGACCTGCTTTCTGTGTGCAATATAAGGAAAATCAAAACAATGGAACCGAAAGCACGGCTTTGGTTAAGGTACGTCTCGATCTTCGTATTCATTGCGGCTGTATTTCAGACAGCATCTGCTGTTACTCACTACACAATTCCAGAGGAGATGGACGAAGGGACTGTGGTTGCAAATTTGGTGTCTGATTTGGGATTGGATTTGAAAAGCCTTAGTAAACGTAAAATACGTTTGGATGTCGTTGCAAATAAAAAATACCTTGACGTTAACAAAGATACTGGGGAGCTGTACATTTTAGAAAGGATTGATAGAGAGAATTTGTGCCCAATTAAATCGGTCACAACTTGTCTGCTTAAAGTGGATGCCACATTAGAGAATCCTATTCGAATGTTTAATATTGAACTTGAAATAATGGACATAAATGATAATGCGCCACGTTTCCGACGAGATACAATGCATTTAGACATATCAGAGGCCACAACAATAGGAGAGAGATTTTCCCTCACTAATGCTGTAGATCCTGATACAGGTTCAAATTCGGTAAAGACATACTATCTCAGTGAAAGCGACCATTTTAGTATTGAGATTCAGACTGGACGAGACGGATCTAAGTTTGCTGACTTGATACTGAAAAAGTCATTAGACAGAGAAAAACAAGCTTCACGTAATCTGATACTCACTGCTGTGGATGGAGGAGTCCCCGCGCGCTCTGGCACTGCTAGCATTATTGTGCGCGTTTTGGATACGAATGACAACGCTCCTCAATTCGATAAAGACAGTTACAATATAAATCTAACAGAAAACGCGCCTATTGGAAGCCTTGTAGTGAAATTAAACGCCACTGATAAAGATGAAGGAACGAATTCCGATATATTTTACTCTTTTAGTCTGTATACGTCAGAAAAAACGCAGCAGACATTCAGTCTGAATCCTGACAATGGAGAAATCAGAGTAAAAGAGATGATTAATTATGAGGATTTCAGGATCTATGATATGGAAATTATAGCAACAGATAAAGGAGCTAATAGTCTTTCTGGGAAATGTAAAGTAAAGATTTTAATCACAGATATGAATGACAATCATCCTGAAATTTCTATAAAATCATTCTCAAGTCCAGTGAAAGAGGATATACCTGTAAATACAGTAATTGCAGTTGTTAGTGTGAGTGATAAAGACTCAGAAGAAAATGGGCAGGTAGATATTCATATTTCTGATGATTTACCTTTTGCACTTAAAGAATCGTCTGATAATTATTATGAATTATTAGTTTCAGAACCGTTAGACCGTGAAAAGGTTCCAGAATATGACATCACTATTACCGTGACTGACAGGGGCAACCCGCCGTTATCTGATAATGAAACTATAACTTTAGAGCTGCTGGACGTTAACGACAATGTTCCTCAGTTCCCGCAGACATTCTACACGATACCTGTTATGGAGAATAACGCGCCTGGAGCTTTACTGAGCTCTTTAACTGCTATAGACCCAGATCTCCATGAAAATCAGTATCTAGTCTATTTTATCATAGAGAAGGAAATAGTGAACACCTCCATGTCCATGCTGTTCTCCATTAACCCAGAGAACGGGAATCTTTACGCGCTAAAGACGTTTGACTATGAGATAGAGAAGGAGTTCCTTTTCCACATCGAGGCCAGAGACTCTGGCGTTCCTCCGCTCAGCAGTAACGTGACCGTTCACATTATTATCATGGATCAGAACGACAACACGCCGCTTATAGTGTCTCCATGGCGCGCGCACGGCTCGGTGGTGGAGGAAAAGATCCCGAGATCCACCGATAAAGGAACACTGATAGCCAAAGTCATCGCCATAGACTCCGATTCAGTGCACAACTCTCGAATCACGTACCAGTTCCTCCACAACACTGACGCCACATTATTCCGCTTGGATCAATATAACGGAGAGATCCGGACCATGAGAATGTTCAGTTACAGAGACTCGCGCCACCAGCAGCTGGTTGTGATCGCCAAGGACAACGGAGAGCCCGCGCTCTCTGCTACAGTCACCATCAAACTGTCCACGGTGGAGACCGCCCTTAAAACCTATGCTGACATGACTGAGGTGCCTTTGGGATATGACATCTTCTCCGATTTAAACCTGTATCTGGTGATCGGACTGGGCTCTGTTTCATTTCTTTTACTCATCACTATATTGGTCACCATCGTGCTGAAGTGTCAGAAAACGAAGCCCAGCAAAGCGGCTCCTCCGTGCAGGAACAGTGTGATCAGCGAGAGGAACTCGACCATCGCGGATTCCACTCTGGTCTCCAACGATGCCTACTGGTACAGTTTATTTCTAGCAGAGACCAGGAAAGGAAAGCTGGTGGTCAGACAGCCTGTGCCAAAGGGAGCGAGATACATCGTGTCCAGTTTACCGAGGAGCACAGGACTGACCGAGACCAGCGACTCAGCTGCATCTACACTACAGGTAAGAAACGCATCCTTATGAACCTTAATACAAATGATGTATCTTTCTTTATGTTTTTTTTTTTATT